CCGAAATCTGTGTCTCTCCTTCCTCAAATGAGGGATGGTTTTTGTCTGTGGGCTCATCTTTTCATCTTTTCCTACTTCAACATTCTTCACAATTGCAACTTTCTGTCTCCTATCTTTCAGGAGTTTCTCTTCCATGAAGAAGAGTGTTCTTACCCTTCTTATCTTCAAGTGTGTGTGTGTGTGTGTGTGTGTGTGTGTGTGTGTGTGTGTGTGTGTGTGTGTTAATTGATTTCTATTAGATATGAAGTTTGGAAAGAGAATATATAGCATTTGCCTAACCTATGGTATTTAAATTAGAAGCCCATCCTCCAATCTCTATGTAATCTAGTATTTGAGAATGCCATAGGATAACACTTATCATACAGCTTGATTTGCAAGAAATGTTTCCCTTCTATCAAGCCAAAATGTGACTTCCCCTAAACTCTATTCACTGGTTCCCATTCTATTGTTCATACCTATACCACACATACCATAGATCTAATTGGAAGAAAACTCTCACATTCTCCCTGTTATTCTCTTCTCCAAGCCAAGAATACTCAACTTCTTTCAAAATTGCTGACTGATGATATAGATCCTTCACTATTTTAGTTGCGCCTATCTTTAAACCGTTTTTTATATGAAAATCTGTTTAACGTACCTTTAAAAGTGGGCCTTTAGAACTAAACAGTTGTAGGCAGTCTGAGCATTTCAGAGTCCAACAGGGCTCTGATCTCCCTTGTTCTGGATGGTCTGTTTCTAAAAGCACAACCCAATACCTCCATACATTCTGTAGACACATACTGAGCTGACAGTATTTCCCTTTCCTACTTTGTTCTAATCAGCCCATTCTCCTCCTCCCCTATTGTATACTTGTGCACTTGTTTTTGGAAAGCTAAAATCAGAATTCTAAAAGCAGCCCTGTTAGATTTCATGTTAGGCTCACAAAATGGTTACAGACAAGATCAGGGAGAAGCACCTCATATTGCTAAGCAGTTCACCACCCCTACCCATCACCCATTCCCTTCCTCACTCTCCTGACTTCTTAAGAACATTTGGGGAGAAAAGGAACTCCATTCCAGGAACCTTCCTCCACTATTTTCACCGCCTCTCTAGAACTGCTGAATAGAGCTGTCAACTTGGAAGATCTATTGTCTTTGAGTCTCTAACTCCTTTAAACATTCTTCTTGGTTGGCTGAATGCCATTTATCTATGGAACACCCCTCCCTTCACTTTGAGAGGTCAATACGTATATTCAACTTAATGTACAAACTTGATTATATTTTAGACCATATAATTAGGCTTCTTTCTCTGTTAGAAGAAAAGTGCTGTATCCCTTTGGAGATCTTACAGTGCTAGGGTTAAATCCTTATTTTAAAAACTGTATGCAGCTTTTTGTGAATTTCTGTAGGTCCTAGTCAGTTTCCTCAGCCCACTGACCACTCCAGCTGAGAGCAGTCAAAGAGTACACAGTCAGGACAGGTGGCAAGAATACTAATCAAAGCATTATCCACCTTTGACCATGAAACTCACAGAATCAACCTACATTCAAAAGAAAAATAATATCCCTTCCCTGCTACCTTCAACAAAATCCCAGATTCAGACATGGATAGTATATTTTGTTCTTTTACGTTTAACAAGAAAGGGAAAATAGTACAATAATCTCAAAATGTAGACTATAAGTTCATCTCCCAAGAAAAAGGCAGAGCAGTTTGTCCCAGAATATTTTCCCTGTTCATATTTTTATAATGCTGCTCCAACCAACCTTTAAGACAAAACTTACGCTTTGTCTTTTAAGGAATAAAATTCTCAAAAGGTCAAATTCAAATTGGGTACTCAAAGATGAAACAAAATAATTATCTGATTAATTCAATTAGCTAGCCTACATAGTTAAAATTCCCATACTTTTTCAGATAGTTTTTTAAAAAGTCATTAAATAATTTCCACAACTTTCCATTTCATGTTATTTCAGAAATGTGTTATTTTTAAAAGAACCTTATGGATGTAATATCAAAGATTTTCCATACACCATTTTTGGGGAGGAGAGAATTTTTACCACTGCCTTTTAATTTTTCCCCACTGTAAGGGTTGTGCTTAAATAGCCTATTAAACTATTTACTATATGTGAGAAAGGCACTAGATGAATGATTGTTTCCACATTGCAACAAGAGGTCAGTCATAAATCTAAGAAGTTAACAAGAAAAACTAAATCAATATTAAACAGATGAATCATGTTAAGAGAATCAAAATGATGTTTCACTTGCATAATTAGAAAAATGTTGATCTGTTCCTACTCTTTTGGAAAGAGTGAAGTCAACATTTTGTAACAATGATAAAGGCCATTGATTTCATCAGTTATTAAATGTTTTTAATATAAACCTTAATTTTGGCTGTGCTGAATCTTTTTTTTCATGCTGAATCTTAATATAATACTTGAACAGTTCATTTTCCTTTGTACATGGAAAACAATTTAAAAGTCTGGACATAAGACATAATTATTATTTTAAAAAAAGAAGAGAATCTAGTAAATGCCTTAAGTAAATAAGATTATTGTACATGTAAACCTTATTAACTGTTCCTTGGTATCATGATTATATTTATGTAAAATTCTTTATTGACAGCTTAATTCCACCATTTCATAATGCTGAACACAGAAGTACATTATAAATAAGAACATTTAAAAATTCATTTGAGAGTTATATCTAATAATAAGACACCGCTATTTACTAAAAGCATTTGTGGCATCTCTCAACTGCTTTAAAAGGCCAACTTTAGAAATAAAGATAAACCAACTGCAGCATTTTCTATCTTCAATCTGAGCTATGCTGATCTTCAGCCTGTATGTTTTTTTAAAAAAGATAAGCATGGGACCTTCAGAGATAAGCACCATAATTTACAACAGCTTTGCAAAAGGCATGAAGTGGGAAGGACTAGGAAGCAGAGGGAGGAAAATGAGACCTATATAAAGTAATATTTTAAGCAGCTGAGAAGATAAAATCATCTAGGAAATGTCTTTAGCATTACTTTTATGGTGTTTCATTTATTGAACTGATTCAACTTTTTTTATATGTATTAAACTGGCCTAAACATGTATGGCTTAGAGACTCTTATAACATCACTGTAAAATAAGTATAAGCACACATTCACACATACATACATGAATGTCCACCTGTTCTGTGGAATTTTTTGTCCATTTCCACTTATCTGAACTGCACCGCCAGAAAGTTTCTAAAGTAAAAGACCAGTATCATATCAAGGAGAAATAACTGAAGCTAAGTGTGAGATCTCTTTTAATCTCCACTCTTGAAAGCTAACACCAAAGATTTATGTCACTATGGCACAGTATCAGATATTTGGATTTTAAGTCTCTATTCCAGAAGTCTTTTCCTGTTACTCTAGTATGTGGTGATAAATGTCTCCTTAATTTGCACAACTGTTTTCGGTTGCCCTCGTAGGAGACCACCTTGAAGGAGCGAGTAAAAGGTTTAGTCATGGGTTCTATTTTTCTATTTGAGCTCAATACATTCTAGTTAAATGGACAATTAATAGGTCACTTCCAAAATAGTAGTGTTTCAGTCCTGGTTAATAAACAATCCTCAGAGTTGATAATGGGCCCTATGTATTCAGCAAGTCCTGTATACACTCAGCTCATCCACTAAATCCCTTTTCAGGTAGGCAGGGTTATATGGGAAGATGAGCTAGAATGAGTCTATAAAAGTCAGTTTCATTCACTGCTTTATTTTTCAGTCAAGTGCTTTAAATGGTGTCCAGAAATTCACCAGGAATGTGAGACAGGAGAAAAGACTGACACACAGAGCCTTGCTTTATGACCATACAAAAGGGCAACTGACCCTTGCTCAAGCCTTTCCCCTGTGAAATGGTTCCTAAAGTTCATCAGCAGAGTGAAAAATCGTGGTGAGGTCGCGTGTGGATGAGTCAAGTGAAAGTGACGATTGGTCACGGGTCTGTCACCCATTGTGGCCGGGTCCCAGCCATGTAAAGTGCTCTGTGGGAAAGTATCAGCCCCCTAAAGAGATGCTCAGAGCTTGCAGCTCATTAAACTGCCAGTATTTGCTGCCTCACTTGTCAGAAACCATTCTGTCGAGCAACTGTTCTCCCAAAACATTCCTAAAACACAAGCACAGAGGCAGCAGGGATCTGAATTCAACCGTGATCAAGCTCGGTACTTTAGCCTAACTCAACTCTTAATTCACTTTTCACCTGACAGAGCTGTTAGCTTAAATAAATGTTTTCTCTTAGACAACTGAAATAAATGCACCCCTCCCCTGGGGTTCTTTACCATAAACTCAAATTCTCTGCCTACAGAGAATGTGAGGTACAGATTCTCATCTGACCCAAAAATCTCAAGACCAAGGTGAACTGTACTTTCAGTTAAACATTTTATCTTTGCATGTGAGAGTGTGTGTGTGCACAGGCTCTGGGTGCTTGAAAGTCTATCATTCCCACTCCACCCCTACACACTATTAAAGTTTTGCATTTATAAATCTCGGCAAAAAATTCTCTTGAAAATATTTCCTACAGCTCTGGTTGGTTTTCCTTAAGATGATAAAAAGAAGAGATCGATCTCCTTTTACAATTCTGACAATTTTTAATGATTTTTTTTATAGACACCTAGTGACATCTTAAGCTGAATGGAAATTTTACACAACACAATTTTTTTCTCCTTCCTTCCAAACTTTTTTTTCTCTTCTTTAAAGGAGTGTAGCTACACATTTCAGAAAGAGCCAAACTGGTCCTTCAGAGAGCTTTTATATCAAATGGAAAACAAGTCACTTTCCATGGTGTGTCAGCCCAGGGTTTCAATGCCATTAGACACTGCTCACAATTGCTTAGTGTGAAGTTTGATAAATCTCTGGAAACCCCCTGAATAGGATCGCTGTGATTTTTAGTGAGGAATTAGCTCCTTGCCATTGCATTACCAATTAGTTTTCCAGAGCACATTAAATCCTGCTGCTTTGGTTTACTGAATAACTGAGGCATTGCTGATGAAGCATAAAACTTACTTGGAAAAGCAGCCGAGGATGCAGGGCGCCGACAGGACCCACCGCAGCACGCCGAGTAGAATGGCGGGGCGCTCAGAAGAAAAGGCTTGGAAGGCGCTGCAGAGAAAGCATTGATCTCCTTGTTAGCCATTTCTCTCAACATTGATTAGCCATTTCTTTCAGACAATATTCAAAACTCCAATTTCCTAAAAGTCTTTGAGTAAACACACTTTGTCTTCTGAACCTTAACTTGGTTATAACTTTTACTGAAATTGAAGTTATTTTAAAGTAGTCTTCATCTGTCAAAGAGCGTGCCAAATGATTTCATCAAGATTTGGAAGACATGGTGAAAAGACTCAGACTATCAGACACCAAGCTCCCTAGTTCATTTTCTGTGGGTCATAATTATAAATAGTAACTACCAAATAATCCTTTATTTAAAATACCTTGGAGCAATGCTGTCCAAAAGAATGATCTGTGATGATGGAAATGTCTATATCTGCACTGTCCAAGATGATATCTGCTATCCACATGTAGCAACTGAGCACTTAATTTGTGGCTAGTATAACTACGAAACTGAATATTTAATCTAAATTAACTAAAATTTAAATAGGCTCATGTGTCTAGGGGTTATGATATTAAATAGCACAGATTTAGATAGTCTATACTTACCAAAAAACAATTTAAATATTATGTGCTTAAGTTTAATTATTAAAGAGTTTGTCACTTTGTTTATTTTCAGATTAGGTTTGAAGAACCCTTTGTTTGGGTTCTTTGAAATATATAGATAGTTGGATTCCAAAATTGGTGATAGTTAATTTACTAAGCAATTCCTTAACAAAAAGTAGTGTTTTTGATCACATTTACATGTTTTAAAGTATTTGAGAACAATCACTTTTTGTCTCAAGAGAAATCTAGTTAACCTGAAAGCTTTTATGTTTATAGTATCATGAGTTGCCATATAATTCTGTTCTGCTCATGTTGTTAAACTATGTAATTCATAAAATGTTCAAGATATGCAAGGAATAGTTATGATTACTCTTGTGACAAAGGTATGGACAAGAAGACCTATTTTGGTGTCCCAAAAGTTCTATAAAATTTTTTTAGAAGTTTCACTGTTATCATAAATTGTTTTAATATTCTTACTATAAAACTATCTCAAAAATGATAAATCACTTTATTTGAACGTAAAATTTTAAGTTAAATTTTAAAGTCCATTTCTCAGTAAATGAAAATAGTATGAAGGATGTCACAGAATAATAACTTTCCTTTATTGGTCACTTACTGTATGCCATGCTATGGTTAAGTACCTTAAATACAACATATCCTTTATAACAATGGGTTAGGGCAACCTCTTCGGGTCCCCTCAAACTGTTGGAGCTTTTCGGTCCTCTCAATAAACCCTGATTTCTCAAAAACAAAAAAGAGTTAAATAAAATATAATTCTGGGTCTAGATTTCCTGAAAGGAGGCACTTCCTTATATTATGACACACCCAGTGGAGTGCCTAGCACATTCTAAATAGTCAATAAATGTTTAATTAATTTAATTTAATTGAGCAAATGAGCTTCCACAATAAGAAACAGGGAACTTTCCTGGTATTCGCAGGGAAAGAACGAGGATCAAGAATTAACCCTTTCCCTTTTTCCCAACACATCCTAAAATATTGTATTCTCCATAACAGACAACCCTAACATCTAAAACATGACTTGAAAATAAATATTTGTATTATTCTCTCTTCATATTCAAGTGGCAACTTTTTTCCTTTTCTTAATCATATATGTACAGTTAATATTATTTTGATATGACTATATGCCTTTTTGAAGAACACTAATTTCAGACTTGTATTTTAATCAACTGACAAGTATATGTCTATTTTCACCAATTTCTTTGAAAGACATATCAAAATAAGTGTATTTCACAATAAGAATTTTACAATAGGCCAGGTGCAGTGGTTCACGCATGTAATCCTGCACTTTGGGAGGCTGAGACAGGAGGATTGCTTGAGCCAAGGAGTTCAAAACCAACCTGGGCAAAACAATGAGACCTCGTCTCAGCAAAAATAAAAAATTAACCGGACATGGTGGTGTACCTGTAGTCCCACATACTCGGGAGACTGAAGTGGAAGGACTGCCTGAGCCCAGGTCAAGGCCACGATGGGCCACTGCATTCCACACTAGGTAACAGAGTGAGACCCCGATTCAATACAAAGGAACAAGAAGAAGAATCTTACACTATTTCAGGGTCCTGAAAACCTTGAAATTACACATCATAAATGCAGCTTTCTTCCTATAATACTTCTTCGTATAATAAGATAGGGGAATGCAGAACAATGTAACAGACCATTCAATTAAAACTGCTTTTCTGGTTAAAGTCAACATTATGATCTTCAAATCATGTTTATCACGTGGATTTAATTAGCCACTTGTCTCAATAAACCATTCATTAAAAAAATCTTCTATTTTTCCATTTGGAAGTTGTTAACATCAATGTTTTGGTTTTTAATATTTGAATCAAAGAATCAAGTGTTTTAACATCATTTTTAAAAGATGGCAACTAAGTGCAAGTATTAAAAAGGAGACTCATTTTGGTGTTCAAAAAGTTCTACATTTTTTTGAAGTTTCATTGTTATCATAAGTTGTTCTAATATTGACTACGAAACCATCATAGAAATGATTTCATTTGAATTTTGCATCCTAAGTTATATTTCAAAAGTATGTAATTATTTAGGAAGATTTACATTTCCATTATTGCAATGGATATATGAATTAATTTGAAAAATGGAAATATACTTCTAATAATAAAAGTTGCCTCATTATGTTTATTCTCAAGCATTTCTGTTAGCTAACTTATTTGCCCCCCAAAATAAATACTCTATAGATAATTAAATCATGGCTGTTGTGTTGTTTTGGTTTGGTTTTTTAGAGGTAGAAGAAAAAAAAAAGAATGTTGCTTTCACATACATAAAATTAAACATTTATTATGTTAACTAGAAAAACTCAGTTTGGTTTTGGTTTTTTGTTCAATGTAGGGTACAAAAAACAAGATCATACATAAGTGATACCATTAAAATAATAATGCAGGTTACAAATTTTCCTATTCTAGCCAAAATGTTTCTGAGTCTAACACTTGGCCCTAAAAATGGAAAAATAGAAGATTTTTTTAATGAATGGTTTATTGAGACAAGTGGCTAATTAAATCCACGTGATAAACATGATTTGAAGATCATAATGTTGACTTTAACCAGAAAAGCAGTTTTAATTGAATGGTCTGTTACATTGTTCTACATTCCCCTATCTTATTATACGAAAGCTCTAATCAAAATGACAGTATCAAAATCTGTAACTACAAAAAAAGTAATCAAAATCAACAGTAACAATTCCAGTTTTGACTAAAGAACTGGCTTTCACATTTTTGTGACACGACCAGGCTTGAGGTTCCATTGTGTAGATTTTTTCACCTTTTTAAATCACCTCTTTGACATATACATTTACACAGATTAGTCAATTCCTGATTGCTATACATAAATACACCTTGTTTAAGCTGGTTTATGTGGAAATCACTGTGAAATTCCAATTAAGTGCTTTTTTTTTTTTTTTACATGCTCCTACTTTGACATAAGCCAAATGCTAATCCAGCTGAGCATGTGATTGCTGGGTGCTGAATGGCTTTAGGAAATAGTCATTTAAAACAATATATTACACTTAACATATACTTATTACACTTAAATGTTTGTAGACCATATACTTTTATAAAGTAATGAGCAAAAACAAAGCGACAAGTTGACAGATGTGTTAAGACTTTTGTAAGCCCTTAATAACTACTTCAAAGATACTCTGAAAAAGGTAGAAAACAAGGCCATTTCATCCTGGATGATATGCATTTTAAACCCATCAATGCAATCTAGATGCAGCTACTCTATCATTTGTCATGTTAAGAACAATTTGTTGTAGGCTTACCAAAAAAATATTTATAATGACAATATTTAAGGAGTGCTTATGACATGTTAGGCAGCACACTGTCTATGAATTTAATACACGCTACCTCATCGATTCATTAACAATCTCAAAGAGACAAGCATTTGGAATATGATTATGAATGTAATTAAAAGAAAAGGGACAAGAGAAACAATCAAGATTTAGTATAATAGACAGATATCAGTCACAAGGGATAGAGATTTCATGCGCAGAGACTCCGCCAATTATTCAGTACGACCTGGAGCCTGAAAAATAAATGTCTCTCTCCCAAGATTTCCACGTGTGAAAAACAAATGGCCTTTCCCATGGGGGAAAAAAAATGCACACAGGCGAGGTTCAATAGCATAATGTTAGGTTAGGTTAGATACAACATTTCAGGACACTCAAATTTCATATCCTGCCAACAAATCTAACTTCCAATTTCTGTGTAAAAGTGCTATAAGTTACAAACAAAATGCCTTGAAATTTTGGCAACTAAACTGGGACATGTTTGAACAAAAATGACTAAAATCACGTATTCACAGAAAACTCCATGAATTTCCCATACTTCTTAATCAGATGTTCTGAATTATTTGAAGACACAGATTCAGGATTTTCATTATTTTTATTATTTTCATTATTTTTTACTATTTAGTTAAGATGGGAACTTATAGTCAACCTAATGGTGAACTAGCCTGATTTTTTTTTTACTTTAACTATATGGTTCTATGGTATAAGGATACCACAGCCAAGAATGATAAGTTTAGCTACAGAGAAATTATTCTCAAAATTCTGTTTGCTAGAAAACAATA